TCTTTTTTTTTTTTTTATAGAAATCAATGAATCCTCGTTAGATTACTGCTGATGGGAGCTGGTAAATTATTAGTGCAGATAACATTTCCCTTCTTGTTTTTGCTGTCCACACAGACTGTTTCTCCGACACACACCTAGGCCTGCTGGTGCATTATTGGTCAATTCATCTCAGACTACAAACAGAAACTAGAGCACTTCCCATGCTGCCAATCAAGACCCCCTGTACTGATTCCACATGTTTTATGGAAATAGAGATTACACACAAACACAAACACACACACACACACACACACAGACAGACCAGGAATACACACACATGGACACAGAGGATCCTATGGACATGCACTAATGGAAAGATGTTAGAGTGAGGGGGATGCACACGAAATATTGGGTGTTCCTTGCCTTGCTCAAGGACATCTTGGCAGTGCTCAGGAAGTGAACTGGCAGCTCACCAGCAACCAGACCAAATTCCATACTTTGGTCCGTACCAGGACCTGAACCAACAACCCTCAGGTTCCCAACCCAAGTACCCTGAATGCTACTGCCGCCCCAGAAGGCATGAGTTGTATATTCTAACCAACTCTAGGTTTGTTTCTATTTTTTTATGTGATGTGCATGATTAAAATGTATCCTGCAACAACCACATTGTAAACTCAGATTTGTTATTCATTATGATAACACTTGAAATTAATGTAACAATATGATATATATATATAAGAACAATATAATAAAATAAGTTGAAGTCTAAACTTCAGAATATTCAGTGTCTTGTACAAAAAGATTTGTAACAAAAAAAGTTTGAAAATCCCCCCCAAAATAACTGAAACATCAGGATACTTTCTTTTGGTGTATGTGCTGTTAATTCACAGTTAAACTTTAGGCTGACATAATGTACAAAAGTACTTATTCCACATTTCAAACTAAAATAGGGCACCATAAATGTATAACTTAATAAAAAACCCAGCTTGCAGGGGTAAAAATTCAAATTCCAATAACTTTATTTATCCGTTAGGAACTTCATTTGTGTAAAAGAGCATCAGTACGCATACAGCGAGACACAAAAACAGCAGCAGAAACACAGACATACAAGTGGCTCTATTAAAAGCATGATAGGTCATAAATAATTGTTATGAGCGGTTAAATGAGTGGTCTTAAAAATAAATAAGAAATAGATCACTTGTTCATGAGCCTGATGGATGTGGGAGCAAAGCTTGACATGGCTCGATTAGTCCGGAAAGTGAGAGATCTGTATCTGTGGCCTGAGGGGAGACGGTTGTAGAGATGGCAGAGTGAGTGTGTGCTGTCTGAGATGTGTTGTCCTTTTAGTTTTGTTCTCCTGTTGTAGATACTGATCAGTGGTCCCTGCTGCTGTCCGATTATTTTGCTGCTTATTGTTATGATCCTGTTTAATGGGTTACGATGAATGTTTGGCAGAGGCCCAAACCAGGCTGTGAGGTTGAAGGTTAAAACTGATTCTATAAAACATTTGTAAAATGCTGTTAGGACTGATTGGTGGACTTGAAATTTGCGGAGTTTTCTGAGGAAGAAGAGGCGCTGCTGGCGCTTGGAGAAGATGGATTTGCTGTTGGGTTGGAAGGTGAGCCTGTGATGAATTATTGTCCCGAGGTATCTGTATGATTCAACCCTCTCTGTGGGCTGGTTGTTGACTGACAGAGTGGGGATGCTGTTAGGTTCTTTCCGGAAGTCGACAACCAGTTCTTTGGTCTTTGAGGTGTTAAAGTCAAGACAGTTCAGCCTACACCATTCTGCGAAAGAGTCTATCTCAGCCTGCAACTGTCCCTCTGAGTTGGTGGTATCCATAATAACGGTGTCATCAGAGTATTTAATGTATGTTATTCCTGGGCTGGTGCTCCTGCAGTCATTTGTGTAAAGTGTGTAGAGAATGGGTGAGATGACAGAGCCCTGGGGGGGCTCCTGTTGAGACTGTTTTAAATGAGCTGAGGTGACCGTTGACTTGGACCCTCTGGTTTCTATTTGTTAGAAATGAGAGGACCCAGAGGATCAAGTGCGGGTTGGTACCCAGCTCGAGCAGTTTACGACCCAACAGGTGGGGTTGCACAGTGTTGAATGCACTTGAGAAGTCCACAAAGACTAGTCTAATAAATGACTTGGACTTATCAAGGTGTGCGTAGGCTTCATGCAGCAGAGTTAGAACAGCGTCGTCCACACCTTTGTGCTGTTTGTATGCAAACTGGAGAGGGTCGGCATACATATTGACCTCCTCCTGGAGTTGAGAAAGAACAAGCCTCTCAAAGCCTTTCATAACCAATGATGTTAATGCAACGGGTCTATAGTCATTGTTACAGGTGGGATTGCTCTTTCTGGCTACAGGACAAACAATTGCTGATTTCCAGAGTGACGGGATTGAGTGTTCTTCAAGGGAGCGGTTGAAGAGATTGCAGAGAACACCAGCCAGCTGGCTGCAGCATGCCTTCAATAAACGGCCACAGATCTGATCAGGTCCTTGTGCTTTGTTTGTTTTTGTTCTCTTCAGCATTTTTTCTACTTCAACCTGCTTCAGTTCCAGGTTTGAATGGGAGAGGGTCATCGGGGTGAGTTCACCTATTAGCTCCTCTCGCTCCCGTGTGTAGTCAGTCTGGTCAAAAAGATGTAAGAAGTTTGTCTTAAAAATGTTTCTCAAACTTTGTTGAACATAAATCCTTCCACGTTCCTCTCCATCTGCAGAACATTTCCTATCAATTTAATTTGTTAGAATCACTGTTCACAAGTTCTTTCTAAGGTCAAACAGCAGCTTTGAAGTCTTACAGTGTCTAAACCTGCAGACGGTATAAACTATTAACATTCCACTTAACCTAGAGTGTCATTGTGTTGTGTGAAAGAAATAAACGCTGTTGCTTTATTCAGGAAAATAAAAGCTTGTTATTTTCTTTGGGAGTTTGTGAAATGATCTCATCCAGCTTGCATCTTGTGTTTGAAGAAAAAGAGACATCAGTCACTGCTGGACTCGGACTTGTCAACATGGAAACGTTCAGTTCTTGAGCCGCATTAATGGAGCTTGGCCATTCTCAGTGTTTGTTCACATGGTGTTTTAATGGAGGGAAACGTCTCCAGCGGCGGCCCTTCACTTCTCCACAGGCAAGCAGACCGCACACTTCCTGGAAAATGCTCGACGGCCGATTCAGAGAACGAAGACCACAAGCCGGGGCACAGTTAGTTCAGGGAGACTGACACGCATCAGATGATCATTAAACTCAGATATGATTTTTTTTTTTCAATGGCTGCTTGATATTAGCAATGAAAGTGAAAATACATGTACAGAATGAGACAGCAGTGATTTCTGTTTGGCCTTTTAGTCAGCGGTCAGTTTGAAATCTGTCAGGGATTAGAGTAACGGTGCATTAAATTAAGACATAAAAAAAAGTTTTAACACTAAATTAAAATTAATAATTAAATTAAGTCAAGATCACTGAGAAGATCAGTTTTACAAAATAATTACTAACCGCACTTATTTGAAAAATAAATCATTCTACAGTACTTGTCATAATGTATTTTTTATAAGTAGATTCAAATTAAATCTGGAAGAATAACTAAGAGCTAAAATAACTAACCCTGTGAAGCACTGTTTAATCAGGGACTGTTCTGGTATGGTAAGGTTTATTTTTTTTAATTTGTGAACATACGGTAATCTTTTGTGCTACACTTAAAGGTCTTGACTTGTTTAGTGATGTGTGGACCACAGGAGGATTCTTTGGAACTGCATTGGGGGAAATTTGAAATGTGAATAAAGGGAAAATCTGCTGGACAGGTAACGGAAGAGTTACACTGCTTAAACATTTAATGTATTGTCATCAGTTTCTGTTCTTCTGTGAAGCACTTAGTGTCTGAATGTTTTAGTGTAAGAAAGGTGTTTTATAAATAAAGCCGAGTTGAGTTCTTTCGGAAACTTCCCTTCACCTCTCCGTCACATCACAGTTCTCACATTTTTGAAGTTTGTTATAAATGTTGATGTGATCTAAACTAAAAGACTTCTTTCTGAGTGTTTCACATGAGCTCGTCCACTTGCTGTACGTCATTTCAAGTGGTGCTCACTGCAGGCCAGCGTGCCACTTATTTAAACAGCAGGAATAAACACACTGTTATGATTAAAGGCGGATAAGGGCCGGGTAATCTTGTTTAAGAACGTGGAAGCAAATTCAAGTGGAAGTAAATTCAAGACTTACATTGAAGTGAGACATGAATGAATCCTTTTTATAGCTGAAAACTAAAGTTCCATCTCAAGTGATTGTTAGGTATAAAACACAGATGAAAGTCACACTTACATTAAGCTGTTACATAATGCACCTTTATTCTGAAAATTAAAACGCATTTCTGTTAATGCATTTTTTTTAAATTTGCATTTTCATTTGAATTAAGATACAAATTTAGCAGGGCATTTTTGAAAATGAGAAAAAAGCAAAGGTAATTTCTTCATTTTAATTTAGTCAAAGAATGTGCATTTTTGAAGTTGAAAACTAAAATGTAAATGAGACAAATTAGTCATCATTTTAATTTTGAGTCAAATATTACACCCATATTCTGAAAATTAAAAAGCATTTCTGTTCATGCATTTTCATTTTCAAATTAGCTTTATCATATGAATTCTGATCACTAGTCGCTTCCACATCTTTCAGTGTCCCAGCAGCGTTTTTAAACTGAACAGGTCCCAATTGTTGTTCTTCAAATATAAATGAGAGAGCAGCGCCCTCTGCTGGATGGACGGATCACACTGCAGATACCTGCATAACCTCACTCACCAGTAAAAAGCCTAACAAGTTGTAACAATGGGGGGAAAAAAAAGTATCGATCAGGAATTAAGAATCTTTAAATTAAGATCCCAAATATTGTAGACAGTGAGAATTCTTGTATAAAATAATGAAGTCATTATTTATCTGAAGGTAGAATAAACTGAAAGACATTTTGACCAAGAAAATAAAATTCAACTTTAAAAGACAAAATAAAAAAACGTTCCACACTCGGAGGTCAATCATCAGTCCATATGTATTGAAGTTTATGTTAACATATTACAGGTAGAATATACAGGACATGTATATTGGTGTAAAGATGGACAATATAAAATGAGATAAAATCACTGAAGGATACAAAGAACAGCATGTACAAAAGCTTATAAATGATTCAAGTACCACTAACTTTATACTTCACTTGCTCTGGACAGTTTTAAGCATCTGTACAAAATGTACAAGAATTGTATCCCATGTTGCAAAGACCAAACGTTTCCTCTCTACTGCATATCACACCTTATGATATAATGTCACAGAGAGGTGAAGGCTTCATGTGTTTAAAGTCTCAAACTGCTTTCTTTAGTTTGATGTACTATCATGAAATGTGCAGAGTTCATGTGTGGCGTTGAACAGTTCATGAATTATAAGGTGGTGCATTAACTTAGTTAAAGCTTTATAAGATGTGATGTTTCTCGACAGCTCACGTTTAAAGAAATCTGCTTCAATGTAACTCACTTTACAGACATTTCGTAAACTGATGTAGAAAATGTGAAACACTGAATTTGTCTAAAATAATTTCCTAAGAAAGTTAAATTGCACAGAAAAAGAGAAAGTGTTCACTTTCAAATCATTCTTTTTTTGGTTCTCTGCTGCATAACGAGTGTTCCCAGTGCATACGGTGTTGATGTTTTATCCACACAGTTTCTATTGAAAAAAAAAAGATAAGACTGATTTTCATCTTTGTTGACAAAGAAGCTGCCAAATGAGAGTTGCCTGGGTTTGAATCCACACTTGTAACTACAGTACGTTTCCGATACTAAAACAAACATCACGTTGGTTTAACTTTAACTGAGCAGATTTTCAGGGAAGATCCTATATTCCCTACAAACTCAACCACAGAAACACATTGCCTGAAAGTAAAGTGTCATTGTGTTGTTCAGGGTCTCTCTAAAATCAACAGGGAATCAAACGGCCACATGAACACTTCAAGTGCCCACAGCAATGTGAAGCTCGATTTCATCTTATACCAGCACGAGACTGAAGGTACAAATTAATAATCATTCATCATAACTAAACCCAAGTCCACATAATAACAATGCTTAAACAGCTAATTGGCCTCACAGATGTTGCTGTGGTGACAAAATGGACGATGTAAATCATTCAGAGAACCTTGTTCAAAAATAACTAACCTTTAAGAATCCTAAAATGCTATCTATTTAACATGACAGAAGCATAGATAACATATTCACTTCTATAATTACTGTACATTGTTTAACAAGTCAAAAACTTACCATCAAACTGGTAAACATCAGTGGTGATTTAGGACAAAGGGGTCCGTGCAATTAAGTAAAAGCGGACTACTAAGTATACACTGAAGAGAGTGCTAAAGCAACAAATAAAAGAACCCGGTCACATTTGCATATGTTGAAAGATGTTGAGAGAGAGAATTCTGCTGAAAAGATGAAGTATTTAAGAATTAAAATGTAGGATTTAACAGTCCACTATACATTTGTACAGATCTGATGCAGTACAATTATGTTTTTACATTTATAAAAACACATCTTTAAAACTTCTTCCATCAGGAAGTGTGACAAAAGATTGAAGTTAATCAAAGTAAGAGACAGCCTTGAAGGCGACTCTACATTCAGACTCAGATCAATGAATTTCTTTTCATGGCTTTGCACCTTTTAAAGGCTCTAACACTGTACCATTCACGGATAGATCCTACAGGGAAACACAGCCTTTGTTTGAAAAATGAGGTTTGCTGTTCCCCTAAACTTGACAGAAATGCCATCAACAGGGTGATTTATCACAGCTAAAAGGTCAATTCATACAATTTGAACAAAGGGAGCTTTTTCCATATGAAATGCGTTGATGACTTGAGTCCAGCTGTGGTAGCACTAACCAGCTCTGATCATCGCTGATGTGGAGGGAAAGGGGAGGACATTTTTCCAGATGACGTTTTGCCTCCATCTGGTTGAGTAGACATAGTCTCTGAGTGCTAGTGGACGGTGCAGTTGTTGTCGTGTCAGGGTTTTTGTGGATCGTACTGCTGGTAGCGGTTAAGCTTATCCGGGTCGTTTGAAGCCATGTGAGTGAAATCCTGGAAAATGTCCTGGTATGTTTCATCTCCTGTAAGCGAAACACGGACACAAGACGTTAACAACACAGGCATGAATAAGACGTCAGACAGTCAGAGCCACGTTTCCCGATATTTGCATATCACATATTTTTTCCCCTTTATTTCAATTTATTCCTCAGAATCATCAATCACGTTTAACCTTTTCAGGCATTTAGAAATAAATCCATTTAAGCTGAACCATCTGAAGGGGGGGAAACAGCTCGCAACTTCTGTCATGATGGTTCATATCATTGAAAATAAGAACCACTAGATCAGAAAACAGGCAGCTTGATTTAACAGACTTCAACTACAATGAATCAGAAAAAAAAAACATTTATCTCAGGTCCAGGATCGTAACATGAGTGGGTTCTTTTTTTAAATAAGCTGTGACTAAACATTGGATTGGATGCTCTTTGTTGCACAGTGGCAGAGTAAAAGTTAAAGTGTTTCTAGGATCCTTAAGGAGATACTCCCTACTACCAGATAAAGATACAGCACATACATCCAATTACATGACTCAGATTATTTAGACTACACTGTGATACAAACAGATAATCCATGTGTAATTATGCAAGTGTACAGCAAGGTCAAAATACCAATAGAGAGAAGTGCCCATGCACAGCGGCAGATTCATCAGCACAAGAATGAAAAAGAAAAAGTCGGCCATACCTGTCAGAGTGTCAGCGAGGCTTGAAATATGAAACAGATCAATGCAGAGGCAGAAAACAAAGAGCATTAACAGTAAAAGCAAAAACAGCCAAAGAGTTTTTCATAAGCAACCGGAGATCGACTCAGAAATGAAAGACAAGCCCACAAAGGTAAATTTTTTGATAACAACTGTATTGTGTTTAAAGTGCAGGAGTTTATGTACAAAAATACAGTTGTGTTGGCCTCAGCACCCCCAAAGAAACAGAAGAGAACAGAAGAAAGGCACAAACTCTGGGGAGGAGAGTGACAGAAGAAAAGCAAAAACAAAGAACAAGAGAGTGACTTTACAAGGAGAGAAGAAGAAGAAGAGCGCGTTGTGAAAGAGAGGACGGCTTCCTCTCACACCGGAGAGGTCGGTCACAATCGACTTCTTAACGTTTGGGAACCAAACTTTAGAATATAGATGGAAAAAAAAAAGTATAGATTACAAACGACATATTCATGAAAAATATCAACAAAAAAAAGACGAACAAAATACAAAATTCTCTAAATATTTCAAAAATCAACGTATAAATTCTAACAAAAATCACAGAGAAACCCTCAGGCTAAGAAGCAGCGCTCTTCTCCATGAAACAGAAACACTCGAATAAAACTGCAGACTTTAAAGGAAAAAGATGGAGGGAGGATTGATGAGGTCAGTTTTCCTCACACATTACTCTTGAAAATCTCTTTGACGGTCCATTCATTCATCAACTGATTGGACAAGCTGATGAAGAGGCTGTCAAGTACGCAGACAACTAACAAATCCTTTCACAATAAAACTCACTACATTTGGATCAATCAGAGACACTTCAGACTCCACTCTCCTCCTTTAAACATCCTTCTTTTCCTCTCATGATCAGGGGTTCTGTTGTACACCTCTAAGGCGACAACAACAGTTCTTGTACTTTTCTCTATCATCAACCATTGCACACGCTAAAGAAACAATTCTTATACAGATATAAGAGAAAACTTCCCTTCATAGAGACATTTAGGACAGTTAAGTGTCATTCTTTGTCATTCAGGTCCAAACATTCCTGACGTACTTAAAAAAAAACAAAAACAAGTCTTCAGGCCTAAAAACAGTCTGGCTACTTAAAAAGCAGCATGTCTAGCCCTCAATATAAGATACTCAATTCTTCAACATCAAGTGGATGACATTTCTGAGCCTAGCCCCCTCCTCATGTGGTGGACACACAGAAATACACAAATCCCTTTTTCCTACAATCTGAGAAAGCCCTCCGCATCATCTACTGTGAAAATGCACGTGTCAACACAATCACAGCACAATCACGTATCTCTGCCCTAACTATTAAATGCATCCCCACACTAGACAGACATTCAAACCATCTCTTATTGCCCTGCCAGCAGCGGGATGTGCTGCTTTATAAAGGTGAAAGTGATGAAGAAATACGCTTTTAATCAAAGTGCTTCGGTGCCCTCGGAGGATGTGAGGCTGCATGGAGTGGAGCGGAGAGATGAAACTTGGGGTTTGTTTCTATAATTCATTATTCACTATCTGTACACTCCTTCATCACTCTCACAGTCTACTCTAATGTTTTGTAAAGCTCACATATAATCAAATTCAATATGAGCTAGGACAGCTATGTGATAAAGATGTATACATGGTTACATTTGTTTATACTATTGCACTTGTTGCTTGATGATGTATCATCCTCAGATGGTTAACAGTTGAGTGGAACCCCACAAACATTCAATACAATCAACGGGATTGCACCAACATGCCTCCACCATCTTACAATTCAGGATTCCCCATGATTACAGACGATGCACATTGAAACGACTAATATCTAAGACACAGTTTTGTCATTACATGAAGTCACTATCACACAATCAGAACAAAAAAAGCAAGGATGTGAACAAAGAGCCCCTCGCGGCTCTCACTCCTGTGCACCCAGTCACTCCTATCTCGGCTAATTCTGTCAGACTATAAAGCAATCTATACGATGCACGTCATTTACAACATTTACATTGAGTATAGTCAGTATATGGCTCCTTCATTTATCTTTAGAAAAGAGAACTGCATTAAAATAGATGTTTTCTGATCAGGCATGTAACAACATCAAGATGCATTATGTTTGAACATCCAAACAGTTGAAGGAAGTAAACAGGCTGCGATTACTGTTAAGACTGAAAATAAGAACCACAGATCGCAGACAAAAGGTACAGTAGTTGCATAACCATTAGAAGGAATGTGCATAAAAGAAATCACACAGGTCAATTTTAAAATAAAACATTGAGATCTGTAGACACACGCTGTACCTCTCCACACCGATACAAGATTTAAAATAAAAAAGTAATTCAAATGTCAATATTATTGCCAGACAGAGGAAACTTCTGCAACTTTGAGGTCCGAGTGTCACTGGATACTGGTGGCAGTTACTGGGTAGCTAATATTTTTTTGCTGAAATACTGAGAGTAATAACAGAGACACAATACTGATTAAAAACATCTCATCACTGACCACCTCTTAAACAAAGGGAATCAGCTGAAGTATAGTCTTATTTTAAAGGGAGAATGACAGATTATCTGGTACAAAGTGACACTGTTTCTTTTTGTGCTCTCTTTATATTTACACGAGTAAAAGTATCTTCTTTTATTTAAAATGCTGATGTTCCACTTTGGAAAAAAACTCTTCAGTAATGTCCACAGGCGATGGCTTTAACCTGGTCACACTGATACCACATGGGGGTGCGGGGTGGTGTAGCACCTGGCAGGAGCTGGAGGTTACGATGGCGGTTTCTCTCACAGTACAGCAGGAAACAGGAGCACAACTGACAGCGACAAGCTCAGCTCATTTAACCAAGTCAATCAAAGTTAGCCAAACATGGAGGTATCTTAATCAAAAACAATACCACTGATACTGAATCGTCCTGTTAATTGCAGTTTAGTAGTCAGCCGACCCCAGCTCTGAGACCTGGTATTACGTTTCCTGTTCTGAACCTAGTTTTTACAGGTTGTAGCTCCTGTGTTATAATGATGACATCACACAGTGTTTAAGTTTCATCCAGCTGCAGGCTAATAAACTCCTGCATGCACTTTCTGTACTGCATCTCAGTGGGGCTGTTGGTGTTATATTGACCTGACTGACTGTAGGGCCCCTCCGCCTCTCGCATCTCCTCGTTCATCTTGGCCAGTCGCAACCTGCACGGGAAACAGAAACAGAAAGTAAAACATTAGTCTGAGTTAAAGACATCAATTCAGTTATCAAACATCACTCTTATATCCACAACAGGTTTAATGCCCTTTAGGATAATGCTTAGCTCTAATGAATAACGGCTACAACGTCCAAAGATCCAATGTGGGATTAAATAAAGACGTGTTAACTGATTAAGAGGTGGCGCCTTGTGGAAAAGTTGTTACTCTTTTAGTTAACGCTGACAAACTGTGACCTCAGTATTCAGCTTTCTTATCTCCTCTCCTCTGTCTACCTGGTTCTTGTTTGATCCTCTCAAGAGTTTATTTAACCCTTGCAGGTTCATACAGATGCAGGTTGTGATATTTGGCTGAGGTAAACAGTATGAAGGCTCAAACTATTCTTTATGTTATGCACACAGATGTAAGAATAACACTCACAGTGTGACAATGTCTGCGTTAGCCGCATCCACCGCTATCATCAGGGGTGTTTTCTCGTCAATGTCTGCAGCATTTTGATTGGCTCCTCTTTTTAAAAATAAACACACTTGCCTGAAAGGAGGAGAAAAGGTTGTCATTTTTCAGAGATTAATGTAAATCTGGGTTGCATCACACTTAAAATGCCGTTTCAAATCTTGATAACATTTTGGCACTGTAATGATTCTAAAAACTTGAAGACACACCCCGTGTGTCCCAGCATGGTGGCGTGGTGAAGGGGTCCTCGGCCCTGAGCATCCTGCTGGTTCACACTAGCTGCGTTTTGGAGCAAAAACTCACAGGTGACCAGCGATCCCTGAAATTAAACATCAAAGTTACACATCAAAAAATGTAACTTTAGACTTAGATTATTCAAACTTCCTTGAAGCTAAAAGTCTAATTATTCTCTTTATGGTCATTTCTTTCTGCAATTAATTGTTGGAATGTTATTCTAACTTGACTGAATGTTGATTTTTTAATAATGCATACCTGTATATAAAAAAAATACAGTCATTGATCGATTTTTGACCGTCATATTTTCTATGATGGACAAGATCTATCAAGGGTTACACTCTGAAATACTGAAGTATCTGTAGAAACACTCACCCCCTGCACCGCCATGATTAGCGGTGTCCTCTTGTCATCTTCGGTGTTGACCCAGTTGACCTCGGCTCCATGGGCCAGAGCCTCTGCCATGTCGGGCAGGCTGCGTGCACATGAGGCCCAGTAGAGCTGCAGACCTGGGCTGTACTCTTTAGGCTCGTAGAAAACCACCTCCTTACAAGGGGAAGGAGGAGGCAGTGTGGCAGGCATGGGCATGGGTGGAGCCTCAGCAGCTTCTGAAATATGCAAGATGGGTGCAGACTCAGCAGCTTCTGAAATATGGAAGTAATTGGAGTCAGGTAGTATGGGAGTTATAAACCCCAAGCCACATTTCTTTCACACATTTTTTCATAGCAATAGATGCAATCATAAGTAAAATAACAAACACTACGTATCTGTGTTTGGTAGTGCAACATCATTTTAATGAAGCTCCAAAACTTCCAGGCTTGGAAAATTATTATATTCCTCCCACATGCTTTTGGAGATCTACATTTATTACTTAAAGATCTGATGAACTCTTCCTCTACTTAGATTGTTAGAAAGTTATTTTTGGAGTAGCTGCATCTTTCTATCTTGATCTTAGCAAAAGCATAAAGAAGGCATAGTTCATGTGTATGTCTTTCAGTGGTAAAGAATGCATAACAAACGGCAAAAAGCGATTACTTGTCCCTTATTTTTTTTACTCTTTTCTTTAAGCCTTATGCTTGTGCAAAATGTTGTGCTTTTATTTTGAGAAATATGGCACTGCTTTAGATTTAAACGAGTATGTAATGGCAGAGGAGTGTTGTGTATGTGACTTACCTGCATCTGCCAGGCTGTTATTGGACGGGGTGTTGGCCAGCATCTCCCTGCTCCCATCAGCACTGTTCTGGATGCCGCTGTCTGCACTTTTTACTGTAAAACGAAAAAAAGAGTCTGAATCACTACTAGTGGAAGAAGGCATGGATGGATCCTGCTATGTATATAAAATAAAAGGAACACCTTTACTGCTGATTGTTTTCCGTGGTGTAAAGAGAAAGTATTTTGGTAGATCTTGACACAGAAACTTTGAGTAGACCCTCAGAAGTGGTTTACAAAAATGTTTCTACTGGCTTTTGACAGCTGCAAATTTTCATCTTGTGTGATAAACAGAAACAGCAGGTGATCCTAATATTTTCAACAGTACATGTACACACACCCCCGGCTAAAGTCAAAGGAAACAACTGAATGAGAGACCATCGCCTCTTGATTCAGGTCCCTTGATAAAGAAAAAATAAAAAAAAGTGGCCGATACCAGACAGAAAAAAACATGTGTTAGATAAACACCCCCCTCAGGCCCAGAGAAAACACCATACGGTATCCTTTGCAAATGCTTTTTATATGATTGGATGTTGGAATAAAGACGGACTGGATGAGGAGGGAACAGAAGAATGAATGGAAGGTTGTTAGTCCACAGCCCAAAAGCAGCGAACAGAAATGGAAGGAGGTGAAGGAGAAGCGAGCTAAACACTGAGCATTTAGTACTTACTGCTCCTGAGCTTGGAGGAGTTGTCAAAGTAGGAGAAGAGCGAGTCAAGCTCGTCAGGACAGAAGAGAGAGTCACGGCGGGCCTCCGAGCCGCTGGCAACAGCTACGTTATGAGTGATGGGAGTTTGGAGATAGGAAGGTGGAGGGTATTAATCAGGTTGCAGGGTGGTGGTGGGGTTAGGGAGCAGAGATTAGTATAGACGCACAGAACAGCCAGGGGAGGATAGAAAGAGAGGAGAGCGGGGCGAAAGCAGAGATAGTTAGACTACAAGCTCAGTGGACACTGGAAGAGACAGACTACAAGAAGCATTGGAGGCAGAGAGGGCTTAGACATATGCTGTTTCCAGAGAACACACAATATGCCGATGAGAGGACACTAAACTGCGGTGCACAAAGCATCACAAATGACACTGGTTTTGCTCTCTTGATAGAGGTGTCGTAAAGTTTCTGAAGATGCACTAAAAGTTCTGTTTGAGGTGATACTAAAGGGGAAAAAACAAACTCTAAAACCCTGTTTCACCTTGTTCAGTAATTAGATACGATGAGTTTGATTGAATAAGAGGAAGGCCGTACATAACCGGGGTCAGGATTTAGATGGATTAAATGTGAATAAATTCAGAGCAGAGGGGAAGGTCACATATAGAACAAGATATAAGGTGTGTTGTGTTTTATATTTGTCTTGCTAACCTGATTGTCCGGAGGCGTTTGAACCAGGTCTGAGCTTTGGCGTGGGCGGTGGCGGTCTAGGGGGCAGATGCTCAGAGCTGCTGCTCAGTCTCTTTTCCTGCTTGCTCAGAGAAACCACTTTGTTGCGAAGCTCCTCGTCTGATGGCCGGCGGACAAAACGCCGTTCCACGTATTTGGCTTTGATGTAGGCCTCTACCTCATGTCTGTTAGAGAGGAGAAGCATTTGTTTTTGTTAGTGAATGCATGTTGATGGTCAGATTATGATTTACTAGTTTATCTGCTCAAACCAGACTCAAAGTGGTATACACAATCAGCAGGATGTGTAATTTATCCCAATAAGCCCAATAAGTTAACTTCTTTTATCTAAAAAGAAGATCAATCCTCCATTTTAATAACTTTTCCCTCCAAAATGTTAAACCTATTCAGTTATTTTTAAGATACAGAAAAAACAGTCAATGCCACGATCACCTGGTCTGAAATACCAAAAAGCTTTCCACCAGTTGTGTACCTGGGATCTCCTGGCTGTGGTTTTCTGGCTCCCAGCTCCTCCCGACGAGCCTCATAGATCTGGTTGATCACTCCGTTACCCAGTTCACACATTAACTGTGAAACAAAATTAGTACTTAAACACATGTGAATATTCAACCAGGCCTTTAAAAGTACATGTTATAGCCTCTAAAGTGATAATCAAGCATACAGATAAGGACAAAAATAAGTTTATGTTTGAATAAAAGGTCATTTTGGAGACTTTCAGTTTGGCCTTCACATTCATTTGTTTGATCTTACTCACCTTTAAAAGCTCTGGCTCCCATGAATCTAAAGTCAAAGACCGAACCTTGGAGAAATGTACTCCGAGGCTCCTGCAGATGAAAGAAGCGATTAAAAAGGGCTATAAAGGCCAAATGTTGAAAAGCCTATACATCATTTTATTTCCAACACATGTGAGTGAAGTTCAGGTTTTGGCCACAAGGTGGAAACTTGGAACTACAAAATCAAGGCCTTGTATTAAAATGTTAACCCAGTAAAAACAGAATGTAGTTCTCCTGGACTAATATGTCCAAACACACTATGGTATGTCAACTCCTAGTTCATAGTGAGGAAGATTATACCTTTATATGGATAGCTTTTGGACTGACCTGAACACTTGTCTTTATTGAAATTTGACCAGTATAATATCTACATATTTATTTATTACTGAGAGAATTATTACAATGATATTACACTCTGTCGTACTTTACCTGTGTATACCAGAGCACTGTATGCAGAGGGTAATGCCCAGATTGATGCTAGCCCAGCGAGGGTCTGGCTGGCCACAGTCACAGCAGCAAGTGTTGCCTGGGATGGCCAGGACCTTCTGCAGGGCACTCTCTCCTTTCAGTGATCTCTCCTTTGGCTCTCCACCAGAGTCCAGGCTCCCTGTCGACGTGGAAGACTTCCTGTCCAGTTTCTGACAAAAGAGAAAAAGGGAAGGCACAGACACCCAGAGAGATTTTAAAGACTTATTGAGATGGAATAAGATAAAATTCAACAAAAAATCTGAAGACAACAAGAGAATAGGAAAATGGTGTTATGTATATATACGCACACAGGTTGAACACATGCCTATTATTTAGTTATGTAATGCTTATATCAACTAAAGGTGCAACGATCAACTGTCTGTGATTAATGATCAGCCGGTCTTTACAAATATAGATCATTCTGAGCTGATCGCAGACTCACACAAGCTAACATGTCAACATTGTAGGAAATAAGATTGATTTTCCATAAAGAATAAGATGCAACATTTTTTCATTTTTCTGTGGATTATAAAAAAAAAATGGAAATGAGAATTGGCTAAAGAAATTTCAATCAGTAGAGCTTTAATATCAACCTCTTAAATTATTCTTTAAGTGTCAGTGTGTTTGGTTTTTACCTCGCCCTCATCTCCCTTGTCTCTGAAGGCAGTGGCGATGCTGTTCTGGACGGCTTTGATCCAGGCCTGTCGCAGCTTCTCTGAGTCTGCCTGCATCATACAGCTCCTGTAGAAACACACAAGCATCACACAACCGCTGCATGCTGCATGTTTGTGTGGTTAGAGGTGGGTACACTGATACTCCACCTCCCCACCGTTAGTAGCATATTCCAGTTCTCATTAGAGATTGATGCCTCAGTGAGTCAAACTTACTTGGTGGGTGATACCACTTCGAAACAGAAGCGGCGCTCTATGTCCTCACAGTGTTTCACTGTACAAAGCCTCAGGTCTTCCACCACCACAGTAGGGTTGTCCTGAGGGGACAGTACAGCAGCTTTGATTAAACACAAACCCACACACGCACAATGCTAAACACCTGAAATGATGCTGAGAAAATGTCATACGACTGGAACTGAGAAATGTGTTTTACAGTTAAAACTGACAAATGTGATCATCTTGCCTTGAACAATATACTGTATGTAGACTCTGTATTTCATCAAATATTTTAACACATGTTCACATATAGCTGCCGTTTATCTGACACTACATGATTTAAACTGGCTACTAGAGCTCGACAATGGGGCCACAGCATACTATTAAAAATACATGTGTGGGGTATTTGTGCTGGAAGTCAAACACATGCATATTTAATTGTGGTGTGTGCGGGGAGTCACTTGACATACCTTAAATTTCTTCTGGTAAACTAGCTGATTGTTCTGGATGGAGAACCAACGCCTTGAAAGGAGATCATGAGAAAAACAAAGTCACACGGCGTTTGCTAGTGATGCTCTGGAAATAACACACTTTGACACAGTTTCAGAGAGGATGAAACAATATTACTTCAAGAAAAGAGAAATGGCTGATGGGTAAATACATTTATTCAGAAGGTCTGTGTGTAAGCTTGTGATTTAAATCCGGGAAAACGATGCTACCTGTATGCCTCTATGATCATTAAGTGAACAGTATAACCTCTTCCTTCCACATTTAACCCAATAATATATTGTGACCGTGATCAAAAAGTCCTCATCAGAACATGTTTTAAAACACACATGTGAAGTACCTTTCATTTGTCTATCCTACCTTTTAATTGACAGCACTCGCCCTTTTTTGACATTATTATTATCCCCATATAGCTTGTCCTTATCATAAGTTTGATTTGTAATGTCTTTATAAAGATGCAAATCTAATAGTCTCTTTATCCTACCTATTCCACGTCTTGAAGGCATTGCTGGCCCTCTTAAACAGATAACCCTCCATGGCGATGCCGTTGTCTGCGTCAACATTGTACTCCAGCTTGGTGTCGTCATTCGAGAAATCCTGAACAGAAGAGAGTAAAGAAACAGGAAGGACAGGAGAAAAGAAAATACTTAACAAATTATTTTGTCTTAAAATGTAAAGACCAACAAAAGACAAACAACCACTCACAAATCAATAAACTAAAGATGTACAATGTCGCGGTACTGGTGGCTTTCTCTCATTGTAGAAAATGACACAACACTTTTCCTGAAGTTTTTTTTCCCTCACACTGCAGAGCTTTGGCTCTACTCAACCCATTTGGAACTGCTGGTATTACTTTCTCTACATTTCCCCCTACTGCAGATAGTACCTGCTAAAGGTGGGTTCATGGCTGAACAACTTGGCTATGTCAAGTGAAACCGCTGGGTGCCTGCCTGTCTGCACATAAACCTGACCTCTGTGAGCAATCAGTGGGCTACACTGTTTTACCTCCACCATCTGCTAGCTTGCAACCTTGGCTGAGGTGATACAAGAAAGAGTTCTAGGTAACAGGTATAACAACAGATATTATCCCCAATTTTTTGCCAAACAACAAAAATGAAGAGTTGCAAGTGAGCTGAGTTGTATAATGCAGATTAAATCAGGCATTAGTCTCACTTGATGACACACTGATGATGATCACTACACACCCACCTAAATGAGGTTTAAGCAGAGAGGCAGGCAGAACAGCCATAGCTTATGGTGATGGATTAAAAATATAATGAATGAGAGAGAAGGATAAATATAGATCTTGAAAAATGCTGAAAGACACAGCCTCCAAGATTTAAAATGGTTTCAAGGCTTTGGTCTGTTTTACTTTTTCCTTCGTGCTTCATTTGGTGAGATACTTGCCCATGCCGATAGATGAGAAGACAAATGTGATGAAAAATGTGATTACTTATCCATTTGAGTCCCTCTATTAGATTGGACTTCAGTAAAATTGGTGATTAAAGTCTAATATCTCAAATTTAGTATTTACCCACCATGTACTACGTCCCCATTACATCAACGCAAGCACAAACATTCTCGACTGAGGCTGCATTACTATTACAGGAGATTATGAAAACTGCAATGACAAATATTGATGTACTTTTGCCCGATTATTTCTGAACATGTTGGTGTTATTCTCAGCGTTGTGTTTTTACTCTGCTGCTGATGTAACTATATCTTATGTGTTGTCATGGGACTGTCCTTGTGTTTGGTCTGGCTTTAACTACCTGAGCTGCTGCCACACTTTTCCTCCACCCTCTTCCCTTTCTCAGATTAAAGTGACATTTAACACCATGATGCATGCATCATGTGTGTGTGTGTGTGTGTGTGTGTGTGTGTCCTTGTAGAGTCAATTTACACGGAGTGTCACACTATCTTCATCATTCACAGCTCTCAGCCCTTATCATTCATCCTTCTAGAAATATCCAGTGGCTCTGACTCACACTGATTGGTCAGATTGACCTTTTCTTACCTTATTCAACCAAACAAACATGGTTCTCTGATAAAAGGAAGTTCTGTAACCCCAAAAAAGTCATATTGGAGTTATGTTAGTTCCTTTTATGCAGTGACATTTTAACTAAATGGATTGATAGACTCATAAAAGTAGGCTATAGGGTCAGGGATCATTTTTGGTTAGTTTTCTTTACGTGCTCTTATGTGTTGACGTAGATCTGGTCCCTTGTTAAATGCATAAATAAGGATGTCAGCATTAGTTGATTTTTTAAGGGCAGAAAATAAATGCATTTTTAATCCCTGATTTAATCGCATGCTATTTGACCCTTCAGGCGCACCATGGATAAGCCTCTGCAGTGTCAATCAATTCCATTTTCATGAAACACAATCAGACAGGGTGCTATCAGAATCAAACGTAAGTAGTAGTGTAAATGAATGTAACTGTGTGGTTTATGTTACTGAAGAGTGATTTCATCCTCAGTGCCAATAAGATATTTTTTTGTTTGAAAAGAAAATTGATGTGTAAGGACTATAAGAACAAACATCACATCATAAAGAGAAACATTTAGTTCAACGGAGTAACACTGAATTTTTTTTTTTTTCTTACCACTGTAACTTTTGCTGCTTTGCTAAAGTGCTCATGATGGATAGGCCGGGTCTTTGTAACATAACAATGAGTATGGTCTTTTACCTGCTCTTTTGTGTCTCGAGATAACACTTGTTATGAGTTGACGCTATACAAATAAAAATTGATTGAAATATGAGTAGGTGACAAATGTAGTTCTCCATATGAAGTAGTTGTAGTTCCACCAACGGTGACATTTAATAGTCTACAGATTTAGATCCTGTATTTGTGTTTGCTGTAGAAGCGACACTGCTGTGTGCTTGGTCATTATGCTTGTGTCTCTCTGACGGAGAGTTGTCTTGTTTGTTCATGCACATTGCCTCTCATTGCCTGGATCTGTAATCCAACCTGAGCATTAGCTCAAGTTAAACACATGGTAACATGGACACACACAAACACACACACAATTTTCCAGCATGACACACACTGGGACAACTGGGGTTATTTTGAGTGCACAAGAGGAACAAAATGTGTCTGTATTAAGCATCTACACAGGAACACAATGGAAAGTACCCTGGCATGTTACTGTACATATCACCATTTCCTAGAGGTAGGGGAAAATTAAATCCAAGAGAAAGGGCCCACAAAGCTCAATATGAAGCTAAAAAGTACACCTTCTGACTTATGTTCAGAAAAAAAATCCCATAAAAGTGTCTTGCAAAACGTGGAATGTTTTGTGGTTTCACAGGTGATTGAATAAGAAAACAAAACATAACTACGCTTATACCTGAGAAATGAAGACACCAAATGAAATCATGTGTTTTCACTCACGTGTGAACAAAAACCAATTTATCCTTACAACCATAACCAATCATATTGCTAAAGAGTCAAACGCGGTGTAACACTGTAACAGTCTTGTGAAAACCTTCAGGTTTTCTTTATTTCAACTGTGTGTTGAGAAACTTCTCTGACCGCTTTCCTCTAGTAAACCATTTTCAACCCAGTTACATACTTTTAGAAAGAGGTAGTGGTCCAACAAGGCTGGTGTGAAAAGTTTGTGAAACTATTTGGAGATCCAACGTTTTAGGCTAAAGGCAGCAATATGATTAAACATAATCTAAATCTTAAAAAATGACAGTAGACTTCAGAGCAATAAACCTCTCAATGACATCACACCACACACCTGAGCTCACTGTAGCAGACAGTGGCACCCACAACAAGGCATCACAACAAACATGCTGCACACTCAGTTCACATCAACACAAATTACTGAATAATGTTGCACCCTAAAATGAGGAAACAGGCGGAGGAGCAAAAATCTACACAAACACACTGCAATGCAGTCTCTCGGTGAGTGCAGGCCAGGAGAAGAGAGGGCAGGTAGGGTTACAAAATGGATGTCAGATGGAAATCAATGCAGTGACTCTACGTACGGAGGACGACCTCCAAGCACAAAAGTTGCGGCAGTCGGGTGAAGAGTCGAGCTCAGTCACCTCCTAAAACATCAGACACAGCAAGAGAACACAGAGAAAAGAATATGTATTTTCTTACTCTAGCATAGAATAATTTGAAATGTTATTGGTGTACAGACGGGGGAAACAATCGGGCTACAAAAGATAAACATAAACGCAGACTACTACTATCGATAGCGGAGATGCTGTCGCTCACAGGGACACACACACACTGAAACGTAATCTCCCTCCTTCAGGTGCACTCACCAGATACCAAACATAGTGAAATCGGCTGAAAATCTTCATCTTTCATAGACTTTTGAAATCATAAGCCACCTCGTGAGTGTATCCCCTCGAGGCAGATTAATCTTATCCCAAAGTTTCACTGAGCAGCATCTTAATGACACACAGCATGGCCTATCTCCTCCACAAGCTCTCCCCTCCTCCTCTCCTGTGGCTGTTTATGTCTATCAGAGATGTCGTCACTGCCGGCTGCTCCTCCTCCTGAGTCCTCTCACGCTTACAGAAGGTCACCTGTGTGTGTGTGTGTGTGTGTGTGTGTGTGTGTGTGTGTGTGTGTGTGTGTGTGTGTGTGTGTGTGATGCTAGTGTTACTGTGAGGTTAGAATAATTAAGTTGACCATGGAGAGGAGCTTGGGCATCAAACATTTACACTGACATCAAGTTAGTATGCGTGCACTGCGATTTTCTCTCATTTCCTTTCTGTGAGCTAAAGACAAATAAAACATTCCTTTATCCTTTAAAATACATTAAAGTGTTTACAAACATGAAGAGACTTTAGCTTACTCTTACAGAAAAGCAGTAAGGCCAATTTAATACCAAAGTAGCATCAAAACAAATGGCAAATAGTTTTTTAAGAGATCAATCTGGACATTAGTTTCCTCAGTCAGCAGCCAATCTCTCTCCCCTGTAGGTTAGCTTCAATGTTACACTGTAATGTCCTGTGGTCAAAGTGCTGCTGCTGAATGAAGCACACAGACCGATAGGAAGTATACTCAACACAACTTACATCTCCCTTAAACTCTTTAAAGACTAAAGGGCCAAAAAGTGAAGGATTTAGTGTCAAAGGCAATATTACATAAACAAGCGTATGAAAGAAAGGAGGTCTGACATCATGTTGCCATTCATTAAAACTAGCTAAATTTAAAGAGTGTAGCGTAACTGCCAGTGTGCCCAACCTTCCCAATTATTTTCACAACAAGTGATAAAGACAGCACCATGAATATAGGATCTACATCTCTTTGGGTCAAATTACAGATGCAGATCATTCACAGAGTTTCTAATAATTATGCTTTATTGAATGAACAATGTGAACATCTTGTTACAAGCTGGTCAAGTAACTTAACAACTTGAAGGCATCATCTCATAAGGCCTCAAATACAACCTCTATATATAAAAATGGAATTTGCTGAAAGTGCCTTTCAAGACAAAAACACTACCTGGTCGTTCAGTTTAGGTCAACCTTGTATCATGTATGTTAAATAACATCTGTGCACATTGACCCTGCAACACTGGTGATGTTTTAATTTAAGGGATACATATTTAAGTAATGCAGTACTGTTGTGCTTAACAACAAATCTGTTTTATTTTTCAGCGGAAATAAGCATTTAGATACATGCACTTGCACAATTTTATACCCGAACGGAAAAAGTATTGGAAGACAAATCTCAAAAGAAATGCCCTCCTCCACGCTGGACTAAGTTGGTTTAACATCTGTACATAACTAAACACAATATAGTAGAAGAAAAGCTGCATGATTTTGTGTGGAAAGAGCATGTCAAGAGTCAAGAGCAATGAGATAATTTCGCCAAAATCAAGTCTTAATTTGAATAATAAATTAAGGCTGACTCATACATACACATTAACTGCAGAAATGCACAAGGACACACGTGACAATATAAATGTCTGACAATATTTGACGGTATCACATCATGCATGTGAAACCTTAATCTAGTGATTAAGGAGCCCACTTGTCTCAACGGTGAGCTGCAGAGATGGAGTCTCAGCACTTTGTGGCAAAGCGTACAGTATTTGTCCAGCACAGACATAACAGCAAGGGAATAAAAAGATAGATCAGCTTACCTGGATAGCAGCCTGAAGGGAGCAGAGGAAATGAGATGTGGAAAAAAGTAGTAGAAGAAAAGAAGAGACAGCTGGTTAGGAGTGTCTGTGTATAAACAGCCAGAAGAGAAAGAGAGAGAGAGAGCAGGGGGAGTGAGACGATATAAAAATAGCATCTAGATAAATCGAGGTAGGGGAGGTGGAGGATAGTTGCTCAAGGACAGGCGGAAGTTGGCACATGTACCATCACTGACCATCCAAGAGGGAACAGAGAGAGAGGACAGCAGGCAAAAGAAAACACACAAACTGACAGACGGAAAAAAGGACAGACTGACAGAGGAAAGAAAGACCTCAGAAGAACTTGCACACAGTTGGAGACTGAAGTGAGCGTCACTGATAGACAGACAAATTAACAGAAGCCCAGCCGACAACAGCTGGGTCAAGAACTCACAGATGTTTAGGAATAATTAGGCTGTGTGATGTTCCATTAAAGCTACGGGCAGTTAATCATCACCACATATTCTAACATAACATCTCACAACTGCTTTCTGTTGATTGTTTAACAGAAATTAACTACTGTCAAAACTACTGGTGTACCTTTTTGTTAGAGACATAGAAAAATGTGACTCATTGGGGTAACTGTGTTAGTATGGCCAGAGAAGGTAGAGTGAATAAAGGTGAAACCCAACCCTATTTATTTGGAAAGGGTTTTCCGTCAGCTGTCAATAATGCATGTGTGTGGCTGAGGTCATAGAGATTACCTTACACCTGAGCGCGTAGTACTACCGCTCACATGAGATATGTAGGGCTAATGGGTAAAATCAGTAATACTAGGGTAAGAGGTTGCAGGGTAACTCACAATAGCATACAATTTGCGATACCTCGCCCACACAAATATCAAAATCATAAGATTGTAAAAAAAAGACTGGACGAAATCTGAGTGACGTCGCCCCTCTGTTACTGCAGGGGGGTTTAGAGTCCCAGCGATGGTGGTCGCCATGATGGAAATCCTGTCTCAACCTAACTTTCAGTCAACCTACATCAGGCTGAGAGCTGGAGCAGAGACAGATTTTAAGCCCCTTAACAAACTGTTACACTGCGCCCGCCTGTCAATCAGGTCAGCTAAGCGCCTTACTGTGAATAACTCGTATCCTTAATAAAAATCATAACAGATGAGCTGGAAGAAAAATCACCCCCACCCACCTACAGTGTGTGCTGATCAAGACATGAGCCAATCAGATCAAATATATATTTTTTTAAAACCAGGCTGTCAACATATTAATTTCTGCTGACATATTGCAGGAAAATAACAGCATGTACTTTAGTATCATGGTATTTTTATTCTGATTTCTATCTGTAACTTCTAAAAGCCTCCCGTGGGCAGGTGCTGCAAATAAGCATTCTGTTAAAAAGACTAAGAGCAGTGCATCTGAGACCTTTGCATGGTTAAATGTTATTGTATGTATATTACCATTTCTGATTAACTCAGCAATATAAAATGTCCAAAGAAGGTGAAGTGCAGAATAAATGAACGTAGTAACTGCAATATGTAGTCAGTTTCATGTCTTATCACGCTTCATCATTTCACTATGTCTCATATCCTTCTGTTTTTTATTCTTCTTTTATAACGCTGTCTTCTTTTTCTTTGGCCAAGTAACTTCTGTTACCTACATTCATGTGATAAGTGCCACTGGGAAGAGTCATGAAGTAGTGACTCGTGAGTCAAATTGGCAGGGAAATCTGTGATGCATAATTTTCTAAAAGAATTATCAGAGTATGGATATTTGGACCCAGCGATTCAATAACGTGCCACACGCATCAGCACGACCATATATTGTGGTATCAATGTTTTGTCCCACCCCTGCTATGAATACAAATTATTCTTTGGGCAATATTATTCAGACATTTCTTTTGATGCAACACTTGATTCTCTTGTAAACTTGTAAGCTTGTTTTCAATAATCTTGAGTGTTTCACCACACTCTTAGCTTGTAGTGATTGAGCATGCCCAAACTCAAGCAGAGTTCAGAAAGAGTTCAGTGTGGCCAGTGTCATAAGGGGTTAAAGAACAGGAGGCTATGGGGTAGAAGGTAAGTACTGCAGGAGGGCTGTGGGTTTATTTTTAATGGCAGGAGGCCTGGATGCAATAAAAAAGGCTTTGTGACTACAGGCAGGAGGATCTAACATCCATAAAGTAACTACACACAAGAGAAACTCACAATGAGAAAAGCTTTTTGCCAAAGTAGCTAATTTTCAAAGTTTTTAGTTTCTAGACAGAAGAAGGGAGGACCAAGTTTGATTGATTTTTTTGGTTTAAATTGAAATGAAGATGAGACCACAGTGAGTGTACCTTTTGCTGAATGGTGGAGTGTTTCTGCTCCATGTCTCTCTTCTCTTTGGCAGCATCAACCACCAGCTGGTCCAACTGCAACAAACAGAGCGACTGATTAGTCAAGCTTACAAACCACCTGGTCATACAGCTTTCATTCAAAACAGCATAAACAAACATATATCCAAACAAATATATAAGACACTTTTCATTTTGGGAAACTCAAATATCTTAAACCAATCAAAATGCAAATAAACAGTACAACCGTACTAATATCAATTCAAGGGAAAAACTGAACTCATTGCATTATTTATTTGATTTACATATCAAAATGTAATGAACGGTCTTTTGTCAATCTAATGATGAGCCATTAAAATAAAAAAGACTTCTGACTGCACTTAAGAGGTTTATACAAGCACATGTGCACTGCTGCCTTTTCATTTTCCTCCGCAATCTTTCAAGTATGACTGCAACTTGCAAATTAAACAACTTTTCCACAGGCCAAATCAATACAAGACAGACCTCCTCCTCCTGTAAATAAAAATAGCCGCACTGGGGCACTGATGGCCTAGCGGTTAGCTCGTGCCCCATGTACGGAGGCTATAGCCCTCAGAGTGGACGGCCTGGGTTCAAGTCAGACCTGCAGCTCCTTCCCTGTCCTGCATGTCATTACCCATTCTTTCTCTGGATTTCCTACTCAATCCTCTGTCTTCTCAAATAAAGGTTAAAAAGAAAACCTTAAAAAAAAATAAAAAATAAAACATGGGCCGTGCTACATCTGCTTCATCATGGGTGAAATTGGATGGGGGGGATGATTGATTCTCCTCGTCCCCTGTGTAACCATTGCATGTAGAGATGAAGATAAAGGATCTTCTGAGCAGAGAGAAGAGCAACACATTTTAAAAAAGGACAGTGCTGGAGGTCATAGGTTTGAAAATGTGCCAGTTTGCCTTTCAGCAGTGAACTATTCATCTGTGCCTCTTTTTAGTTTGTTGCTGCTAAAAGACATAAATCAATTTGTCTCGTGCCTCAAAACACAAAAGGATCAGTATCTGCATATTGAACATGAGGTTTTACTTCAGATCAGCTGTGTTTGTCATATGCTTCTAACAACAGTTACTGTACCACAACTTCAAAGGGCTGAAAGAGAAGCTAGCGTGCGAAATACGATACAAGAGGGTGGTACAAATATTTTGCTTCCTTTCTTAAGGCACAAAGTTTTGTGTTATTGTTCAAATTTACAGCAAAATGACATTTAACATATTCTTTGTATGACGTCTTTTCTTTCTTAAAATATCTTACTTTGTAGGACAATATGAAAAATATTCCATCATTACAAAGAAGACAGCATATGTGGGAGCTCGATCTTTTGTTTTGTTTAAAGAGAGGAAATGGATGCACGGCAGAGCCACAGGCAGATAACATCAGATGGGAAATGTTTTCCCCTGTCTCACCATCAACAAGTCCAGTGCAGTCCACGCTGTCTTTCTGGGTTTTTTTAACTGCATTAGCAAAAGCAGAAATGTAAGATTGTGTGAACCTCTCAACATATTTTGTGACAGTGACTCACCATAACCTGCAACATCTTATCTATCCAATCGTGCAGCCCCCACTGAAGATGCCGGCAGAGACAAGCGCCTCTAAGGTTTACGACAACAGCCCTATAATAAAAGCCTTTTAGTCTTTCTTCTGCAGGGAACTGTCTTAACCTGTAACTATAATAATAAGCTGAATGACTCAAAGAACAGTAACAAACACATTCTTATGAATGAATATATTCACTCAACATGTGTTCAACACTAAGGTTTGGCATCATAGAAAGATCCAATCAGCTGAACCTTTTCCAATGAGAAGCAGCTTTATTAAGAAGCTCTTTCAAAAAACATTTGAAATGGAGCGCTGGTGGCGCAGTGCATGTCACTCCCCACTATCTCTCTCTCTCCCTGATTTCTGACTCTATCCACTGTCCTGTCCCTCCAATAAAAGGCAGAAAATGTCCCCCAAAAAATACATTTGAAATGATTCATGTAGTGGTAACACAACATAGAACTGAGATAATAATAATAATAATAATAATCTTAGTTTTATATGGCTGACAAGATTTTTGTGCAGCAATGGATTTTTATGATGCCATGTCTTGCCACGCCCCTTTTGTATCTTTCTGTAGAGACTTGGGTTGGGAACCAGAGGCTGCCAGACACCAACTTCTCAGGGTGCTGTATCGTGTGCAGCCTCTCCCTCTGGTGTCTCTCCATTTGTGAATGTCTATAGGAGCCTGTTTGTGCATGTTTGTATTTCTGGCCCAAGTTTGTGAGGCATGTTTTTCTTTTAAAAAGTAAACTGAATTTCCTCTCTGGGATTAATAAAGTATGTTTTCTTCTCCTTCTTATGAGTATTATTATTACCATTATGCTTTTGTTAATATACAAGCCCTTTTCCAAACAATCACAGGAACATTACAGAAACAGTTTCTTGACCTCTTGCAACTGCAGTATTTAGCCCATCTTCCTGTTTTGTTTAGTAACTTCAATTCTGTCAAATTGTAATTGCAATTTTCAGTCTTCTGTCATCAAACAAAACCCAACTGCTATATCATGCAAGACAACTGAATGCCCCTATGTCCTATACTATACTAAAGATGCTTTTACTCCCAAAAGAAAAAGTGTGGGAAACCGGCTTTATTTTTTCACCTCCCTGTTCTCTAATTGGAGAATAGTTCATTTACTTTTCCACTCTTTATCACTTTCTCATTGGCAACAGGCATGGAGTCATACAGTATTATCAGACCTGTTGACAGCTCCTCCACACCTCCCTGCACAGCCTCTCCACCTTCTTCAGCTTCATGATGTGGAGGAGAAAATAAATAATCCACTTTCCTCTTGTCACTGCTTTCCACGGCTCTGCCTCTGATTGTCCTCAGTTTCAAAATGTTCCAAATCGAGCGTGACAGGCTTAAAATCCACACAATGCAGTTTGACTTAACTTGTTCATTAACTTGAAACCAACACTCTCTCTATCCTTTCCTCTCCAAGAAAAAAAAACAACCATTTCGCTCGCACAATCCTTTCAGTCTTCTGAATGTGGTGGGTTTACAGCTGATGCCTCTCCGGCTGCCTTTCCATTCTACTTCAATCACTTTTTGCTCCGAGCAGATTACATTCTGACTCTTATCCCTTCCTAAATCTATTTTCTAAAGTGTCTCCTACAGTATGTTCCCAGCACTGTTTGCTTCTTTCAGTCAATTTCTTGATAGCACAAACGTCAGATGTTTCCAACTTCGCAACAACCACACTCTCCTCTTATATCCAATTCAATGGACTGCTGTTCCAACTCTTCAGAGCTGGCTTCCAGAGGTCTTCTGTTTCTCAAAAAAGCTGCAGTTGGCTTCCTTGCTGGTTCAAACATTAGAAAAACATGTTGCCCTCAACTTTTCAGCTCCTGCAAGATCTCAATCTCCGTAGCTGGACTCATTTGCTTCCTTTCTCTGGAACCAAAAAAAAGAAAAGTCTTCTCCTTTAGCTCTTGCACTGCTCCAGCCTTCAGCTTGATATTCCACACCTTCAGCACCAGTCTTGGATGTATTTACTGTGTTCACTCAGCTGACTGTCAACCGTGTGAGTCGAACAGTGGGAAAACCCTTTTCCACCCCTCTGGATGCCTTCTTCCTCATTCCTGCTCACTGTAACAGCAGCTCCACCGTGATAATCATCTTAAAGTCACATTCGGGCCATCCTCTGGCTCAGAGGGAAGGCTCTGTTTATCAGAGGATGCAAACAGACACACACAGTGCTGAAATATCGGTCGACAAAAATAAAGCAGGAGACACACACAAACTGAGAAGAAAGGAAAACAAACACAAAGAGGAGAGATAGGTCATCTAGAGGTGAAGTCAAAAGCTGAAAGAGCGGCTGTACAAAGTGCATCCCCATTGATGACGGCTTAAATCCAAGATCACTTACAAACTCAAAGACAGTTAAATGTTATATTTCACCATATAGAGTCACCATATACACCTCCCTCCAAGCTTCTTCAGTGCTCCCGCATAAGACACCACGGATTCTTAAAGGCATATTTCCGGGTCAACAACTCAAATAAACTCATAACAAGCAATATGGCCAAGTCCTGAGGATCTGCTGCCAAAGTTAATTATGCATCAATATGAAGACGATATTTATCACTAATAAATTATGACATTTGTTTGTTTGTTTATTTGGATCCCCATTAGCTTCAGCAACATGAATGAGGGTAACATGAACAGATGTTACACTGATAAAGCTAGATGCCCTGCAAGTGTGAGGAAGATAAAACGATGGAAGCCCACTGTGAATGCAGTGATTTCTGCCTGTAGTTATTTTTTGCTGAAATCATGTTGCTGAATTTGACATTAAAATGTAAGTGGTTGCAGGTTCATCCCTCAGCTTTAATAATCAAAAAAGGGTGTGAGTAGGCAAAGGCATCAACATGTGTGTGTAGTCCGGTCTGTACCTGTCCTCCAAGCAGCTTCATTAGCGGTTGTAGTTCACTGAAGAGGTCATAGCCTTGGTGGAAGAACGTCAGGTGGGAGTACATGAAGGACAACATCTGAGGAGAAAATATTGAATATTCAGAGATCCAGTAGGGCTGCATCATAAGAAATCACTTGATGTGTTAGAAGAGAATACTCACTGATTTTAAGATTTCTGATCTTCTCTTGGATTGTAGCACATTGATCTGTAAAAACCATAAAGTTGTTTCAATCATTTCTGTCATTTTGCTGTAATTCCAACATCCTTATATGGCTGCATGAAAAGTTTTGCATAAAAGAAACATGTGCTAAAAGTGGGTGATATTGGCTTGTGAAAACTCTGTCCAATCATTACATCTGTACCACATGACATTAAAGATGGCTAACCTGCCTGACTTAACTACCTTACTGCATACCTGTATGCACTCTTCCCATAGACTCATTATTCATGAGCAGTCTTCCACAAACTGAAACTAGTGCAGTAGCCACATAAGACTGGCAAAGAAAGAAATTTGGATACAATGATGACAACGCACCCCTCTCAAACACTTTCTCATAACTTGTTCTGCACCTGCATTTTTTTAAATTTTTTACATTTTAAATCCTATTTTATATATTGTAATAGCTTCTTATACTGTATTATTTAAGTTGCTGCTTTATTTCCTTGTTAATTGTTTAGCACCAAAACATGTGTAAATGTACTTGGCAATAAAACCTGATTCTGATTCTAGTGAGGAGGCAGTTCATGTTCAAGGGTTTGGGGGTGTTTTTATGGTTTGTGCATTTCATTTCTAACTAACTGATTGGGAAATACAATATATAAATAAAAACTCAATCTACAAAAGCGCTTTAATTAAATTGCATGGTAGTACCATATAAGAGAAAATGTGCGAAGCGAAATAAAGTGACGGATGCAACAAAATAGAGAGTGAGGCAGAACATAAACAGAAGATGAAACGAGGTGATAAAATAATTAAAATAAACATCAGAGGAAAAATGAGCGAATGAAAGAAGTCATGAAATAAGCTGAACTAAAGTAGAAAAAAGATCACAGCCTATCCTTACTGCACAGCAATACTTAATACTTGCAGCAGGGGGCGCTGCATGCATCTATGTTTCTCTGCTGAATGCACTGCAGCCTGGTTTGTGTGTAGGTCCTTGTGTGTGTGGTGTGTGTGTGTGTGTGTGTGTGTGTGTGTGTGTGTGTGTGTGTGTGTGTGTGTGTGTGTGTGTGTGTGTGGGGCAGACTCTTCGTCATCCTCCTCTAATTAACACTGTGCTGCTCATCAGACCTGGGAGGTTATTTCAGGTTAATGTGACAGACTTGAGAAAAGTTAAGGAGGGGGGGGTAAATACAGACAGTGAAGCTGATTGGCTTCTTTCAGCCTGATAGAAACAAATGTTAATTGTGTGACAGTGGAGTATCTGAGTGGGCGTGGTGGATGCATTTGACAACTACAGAAGGCATTTTTTTTGCAGTCATGAAAACAGAAACAAAATACTTTGACCCACAGTGGAAAAAAAAGTTCAATTCTTTGTTATGGCCAGCAGATTTTTGGTGGTAAGGCCATTTCCCTTGGCAACAGAGAACCACACTTGTGTTTATATACAGATATAAATCCCACTGGGGGATGGAAGCTTAATTTCCATCCTCTAGCCACAGTGGTTGGTGCATCACATCTTTTACAAGCCCCCTCCTTCTCTCGATTACAGTCAATTAGTAGTTTTGACAGGAGTAGTACCTCTTAGCAATGGTTTGTTTAACCAGCAAAGTTCACTATGGTGACAACGTACAAAACTGCCAAGTTTATGAGCATTTGGTCAAGTTGTGGTCATTCCACACTTACATGAGTGCAAGATTTAAGCTCAAAGTAGACCGTTTTTAGGCATGAACATTTTTTTACATACAACTCTGTCTTTATAAAGTGTAAACTGTGCTTCTGTTTTTCAGCGTTTGTCTCTATTCAGTAAGTGATAACCTGTCAGTCAGGAAGAAGTCATGCAGCGTTATTAGCTTTTACTGCACAATGTGTTTTCATTTTATAACATAGAAACAGTTTTCAAACTTCGCCAATAGTCAATAAAGTTTCAAGTTGATACTCCAGTGTTTTATGATCCAGCTCCTTATGGCATAGCAGGGTAAAGGAAACATGCTCCATTCTTAAACATTCATAGATGCAAGTCTGGCTTATAACCCCTCCTATAATTTCCTCTCCCTCTACCATCCTGCATTTCACTGAAAACTGTGCACTGTGTAATTAAGAAACAAAACTTAAAAGGGCAGAATTTTGACTCAAATGTTTTCTGCAAGCCAAGCTGCAGAAGTTGAAGTTGCAGCTGAAAGCGCTGCAAAGATATGAAACTTAAAGGAGAACTACGTGACCTAAAAGGAGAACCATTAAATCAGTTGTGCTTGCTGTTGGCTTATAGATTCCCTATAGCAGACCAACAGGCAAGATAGAAACTCTACTTATTTCTCACAGCCAGACTTCATTTTACAAGAGAGATTATGCAGCAGACCACTAGAGCAGACTGCCAACCCTATTTTGAAACCTCCTTTTGGTTTCTTTTCAAAATCTAATTTTGGAGCTAGCTGTGCCTACACTGTATTGTCTGTTCCTTTTGGAGTGAGATTCAAATAAATAGGCTGGTAGCTGCCTTATCAGCAGGCAGGAAACATTCATCTGTTCAAATGTGACCAAAAGGACAGACCCAGGGCTCAGCAGACACAGACAAGAAAAAGGTCTAACTCATTTTTAAAGATGAAGTAACATGTAACAAGTAATCATTTCATAACAGTCATTTTTTTATAACAGGTGATTCAGCTTTTAAGGGCAATATTTTGTGAGCAAGTCTCTTCCTCTGTCTTATTACTATAACTTTAAACCCTGACCTATTTTGAAACAAGTCATAATTGAGCAACAGTCCTCATGTAGTCTGAATTGTTTTAAGTGGCTAAAATTGTAAACTTTTACTTGTTTTGTTTGGTTCTTCATCCTCCTGCTCCGTGTCTCTCTTACTTGTTCTACAATAATCTTATCTAAAATATGAATCATTTGTTCTTTATCAAAAATGATTTCTCACTGGTGAACTTTATGTCATTATTTTGTTATTGACCTAAACGGTGTCCTACCCTTTAACCAAACAATACATTTTCTATAAGGTTTATTTAGCATCCAGCTCTTTGATGCATCTTTTACAATTACTCTCTTTGAGCCATATCCAGCCTGATATGTGTCCGAATCAGTTGGGTGTTTCACTATGAAGGGAACAGAATTCAACACAGCTGTTGTTCATCCTTCTCCGTGCTACTTCAGCATTTTCAGTCTGACTCAGCATATTTAGTTCCTCATCCAAACCCACGTTGGCTCTGATGTACAGAGAAATATCCAAAATGATGGTGTGCAGCTGAGCAAAGCATCAAAGTTAAAAGCTGATGTCAGCATCTTCTGCTTGAAGAAGTCACTCTGGAAACTGTAACACTTCAGGGCACCTAATGGTTTTCTTGAAACACTGCAACTTGTGGATATGATTTATGTACCCTTAAATTATGGTCACAACTTGTTTTCTATTTGGTGTTACTAAAGAAATACACCATCATGCAACTGTTACTTGGTATTTGAGGTTCAAAACTTCCTTACTTTTATTGAAAAGAAACATACTGTATGTACCAGCCTTCCTATGTCTAAGCTTTGATTGCATTTGAAAGGGGGAGACAGTGTAAATCCTTCAGTGAGTTGTTGTACCTGTAAAACGTAATCGAGGACGATGTGTCGGAAGCACTTGCGTGTGGCAGTGAGGATGTTGGTGGCCTCTTCCACCTCATGCTGCTTGTTGCGAGGAGCCTGAGCGTTCTTGATCAGCGCCGTCTCCTTTTCTTCACTCACTTTGTCAAATTGCTTTTTGGCTTCTTTGAACTTACGCAAGTCACTGAAAAAAAATAAGGGACCGAGCAGAGGTTACAAAACAATACCTGTTTAAAACAAAAGCATTTGTTTAAATGAAACTTTCTTTCAAATTCATACAGATCTGAGAACATTTTTTGAATTGTGGAAACAGCCTTTCGCTTTTTCATTGCTCATTTTGAGCACTAAAATGAAGTGTTGTTGTCTTAAGATGATGGAAATACCCTTGCATGGTTCCACAGATGTTTAGAAATGTACAACAATTTCTGGATAATGCTGAATGGGTTTGACAAAATTAGTTACAAAAGGTGAAAAAATTGTTGTCAATCTTTTCAGGGGAAAGGTCAGATTCTGTAAGGAAAGCAAAGTCCTCAACACAGCCAGGGTCAGGGCACAGGAACACACACATGTTAAGGGTGATAGTGTGAATCTTGTGAAGATGAAAGTCCAAGAAGGTTAAAACAAACTTCTTTTCCTGCGTCACTGTGAGTGACTGGGCAGTAGCTCTAATCTTGAGAAGGAGGACAATGAAGCTAGACTTTCGCCTCAGCAAGATAAATATGAAACTGCTGCAGGAAGTGAGAGATAAGACAGAGTCACGTTTCCCTGCTTTCTCTGAGAAGTTTGGGTGCTGTTGATGTGGGTATTTAGCTTTGGTGAGCCTGTGGCTAAAGCTGCTAATCCTTATAGTGACATAAACCAAAAGTTCCCACTGTTTCCTGCACTTACGTGCGCCTGCAATTCAGCCCTTTATTAGGAGGCCTTAAACAGGGCGATATGAGGTTTTCTAATATAATATTGTGTCCTTAAAAGCCCCGTCTGTATCCTAAGACAATCAGTTATGTGACATCCCTGCAGCATCTAATTCATATACATAGTTTCATGGGTAGCCTTGGTTATTAAAAATAAATTTCACGTTTCCTGCAGCCTAGTTCTGAAGTGTGTGTAGTTCACTTTTCCTTATTTTTCAGACTATCTGGATATGCATGAGGGAAATTAAAATGTGTGCAACTGATCCTTACAAAGACATGACAGAAATATGAATTCAGGCCAGTCTTCCAAACAGTTTTATCTTTTTTGAATTAATACTCACTCTTTGATAAATATTTGAAGCTGGGTCTTGATTGATCTCTGGGCCTGATCGAATAATATCTGTTGGGGAAAAGGAGAGAAAAAGGTTTAGCTCATTTCTGTATGGCAAAAATGATCTAATTTAACAAATGGAGCATTAAAACATGTTCAGGCGCTCTTTAAGACATCAGCAAGAAAATGAAAAATGGGATCTTTTCCAGTTTTACAGGGTGTCTTGCAAGACAGCATTTAGCACCTTTGTTTAGGAGGGGTTTTGTTAACATTACAGGGCGTAATTAAGCCGCTGAATTTACACAAACTAGCTGACTTAGTGAACTCCCCTCATAAAAGACGTAAACAGGACATGTTACGTAATGTGCTTATTCTTATTGGTGAGTCATCCTCATTAACCTGCATGCCTTCTGAAAAATGAGCTGCTGAGGCCAGACAAAAACTCAGTTAGGATTCAAGGCCAGACAAGACAATATGGGCAGAGTGGCTGGGAGAGGAAACCAGAGACAAACAGAATGAGCTCTGTGTGTTTGACTGAATCATGTGCTGAGAAGATCGCTGAGTGGCAAAAACCTATCTGACAGTCAGCTGACATGACCGCACTTTCCACAGTTGAGTCACAGTGGCACGCCTGCACTACAGCTCCTGGCAGCTCTGGGGAGGGGGGCTTGTCAAGGGAGCTAATGAGAGAAAACGGACTCAGAGCCCACCCTTAAGCGTAAGGGTTACCAGTTAAAGAAAACATATAAAGTATCCCATTTAACTTGAGATTTTTATAGTCTAGCTTAATGCAAATCCTAATGAAATATATGTCATGGCTGTAAACAGTTATCTGAGATTCATTTTCTTCAACTCAATCCGAATAAATACTTTTGTATTCAAGTTGTTCAGTTAATCAGTTTAAAGGTAATAAATAAGATGACTGTTCAATAAGCTATCCCAAAATCAAGAACAATAATAAAAAAGAAACTCATGCCTATTATTTCGCAGGGTCCAAAATTAGGTTGTAAATGTATTTATCTGTCTAAAAAACAAAATCTAGGTCTAACAAATCCTCACATATAAGAGGATTCTATCAACAAATGTTTGCTATGGCCTGAAATATCCCCTTAATGGTGCATTAACAAAACATTATGTAAATTAATTTTGCGATTTAGAAAATAATTAAAAGTGAAAGTATTTATTTAATTGAACAAGCTCCTCTATTAGTGAGGCGCATCATTGCTCTTTTAAAAAGTTAATAGCCATGTGTAATTCTGTTACTAATAATTTCTTCATCCAACAAGTAACAGGTGCCTTGTGTTGTTTTTCACTGACGGACAATATTTGTCACATGATAATAGTTACAGAACACGCGCTTTTCCTGCCATGGAAAAATCCACATCCACTAAGATCAGTAACATTCAGCTCTCACTAGCTTTGCCCACAGCTTGGTTGTGTGCTGTGAGCTCACTCTGAACATGTTATACAGAGCTGACAGAAACATGACATGACAAGACAGATCAGGAAAACAAATTTTACTAAGGAGGGAAAGCCTCTGGCTCACTGTGCATACTTTATGTGTTGGATTGATTCTTAATGAGCAGACAGGCCGAGGGAACTTGTGTCTGCTTTTGTAAACATCAGTGTCATTGCCTTCAGAGACTGACAGCTGAGGAAGACTCAGCAAGTCTGATCTCCTCTGGCAGGCTGTTCCAAAGTATGGAGGCTCTAACAGCAAAAGCCCTGTCCCCTTCCGTTTTCAGCCTGGACCTTCAAACAGCCAGCAGAGCTCTGCCAGAGGATCTCAGACTGTGACCTTGTTTCTTAAGGGGTTAAAAGCTCAGAAATATATGAAAGGGCCAGCCCATGTTGTGCCTTTAAAAGTAATTAAAATGATATTAAACTCAATTCTAAAATCAACAAACAGCCAGTGAAGGGATGCTAAAATTAGAGTGACAGTGGCACATTCGCCAGGCTGCTGGGTTTTGGATTGTTTGAAGGCGGTGGATGGAAGTTTTTCACTGAGACAGGTGTATAGTGAATCTCAGTAATCAAGGCTGACCATGTTAAATATGACCATGTTTACCTGAATAACACATCGTTCATTCCAACTTAAAAACACACGAGGCAAGGATTTGATATTATGAGGCTGGACATTTTTTTTTCTCTTTGGATTGGATTTTTATACGCTGGAGGCACGAGTATGTTTGGGATTTTTTGCAACAAGCATCCATAAAACTTTGCTCACATTTAAAGTGATGATTTAAGAAGAATTCACCCAAAATATATTTTTTACCCACTTTTTATGTAGGGCAGTGTTTGCTGAGCAGGCATGAATGTTTAGAGCAACACCCTGTTTCACATTTTACAGAAATCCCACCTGGGGGCTGTTTATAAAAGCCACTTTCCTCTACTAAAAGCCCTGTGAAAGCAGTTTGACGATAAATGTCTAGTATAGAGCACCATGATATTAAAGGAATCCAATGATGCATGTCTTGTACACTTTCTTATCCTTTTCTAAAACCAGCGGTCATTCACTAACAGAACTTTTGCCCCTGTGTTGCAGTGTGTTGTGGTTCTTCCCAGCAGTAAAAGAGCTTTCAGTTTAAGAGCTGTTCCAGACTTGAAGTCCAGCTGAGTTTTGTCATCCCCCAGCTGTAAAGGGAGGGCAGGGGCAAAGAATCACAAAACATCCGGTTTCACATGGAAGTGATAACGTACTGTGTGATAGTTGATCATCTCCTGCAGACTCTCAGCAAACTTTGTGAGACTGGACTGTGGGGAGAGAAGGACATAAGATGAATGCTGGCAGAGAGGAAACATCTGTTGTATTCTTATAAAAACTACAGAACACAAATAGATTCAGTGGGCAAACGGTAAAAACCATGACAAAATGTTGTACTTTTGATACAATGAATTGTAATGAAATATACAAAATCTTCTGTCAGTATGGCCTTATAGAAACTGCGGTCTGTTTTTTGAGACACAAGAGCAGTTTGGGAAAGTATTCTTTTGGCTAAGTTACTCCCTCCAAACACATGCAGTGGCAGATCTTTAACCCCAGAGACAGATTCTGGAAAAAGATATCCACAAAAGGCACACAGGAAGTGCTTGCCTTGCCATGCAAAATTCATGAGAAAACAAAACAAAACAAAACATCTGACCTCCACAAGACCCAGAAGACAGTAAGAGGTTTTACAGAGCATCAATTTGTAAAATGTAGATTTAATCTAGTAATGACATAAAGGATGACTCAGAGGAGATGAGACGGTAATGCGAGCAAACAGAGGGAAAGTACTGGCCTCCTTCCTTTTTAGGAGTAAACCAAATATTTATACTGCAGTGATGTCAGAACTGATTTTTTCAATTGAGCTGATAACTTTTGATAAAACTTCATCATTTAATAGTGTAAATAAAAAGTTAAATCGAACCCACATTGAAAGATTTAAACAGGAATGACTTTTTATGCTTCAGGATCATGCCAGATTTGATTTGTTTACCTCAATGACTTCATCTTTGGTGGACTGCTGGGCTAGCTCCCGGATTCCGTAAACAAACTGTTTGTTGGCTGCATTGTAGGCTTTTCCAGCATCAATCATCCCAATACACAACTTCACCAACTACAGAGAGAAAGAGAATGAGGCAAACGCTTAGGGGGTTAAATAAAAAGGAAGCAATGCAGTAACAGACAGAGACAGAGAAGACGATAACACTCAGTGAAGGAAAATAGTGCTGGTCATTCCTTCAGGGCTTGCATTGTTATTTAAAAAAAACAAAAAAAACTTGAAGTTTCCTGCCCATTTAGGAATAGTACGTGCAGAGCCTGAAAAGAACAACGTAAAGCTAAATGCTCTGTCAGTTTCTTGGTAATTAACACCAGGCACTTCTTTCCCTTCTGACTCATTGGGAGCAAATATAATTTCAGGTTACGTAAACTCACAACAAACACTGGCCGCCCTCCATCCACTCCCACGCAGGAGATGACACAGCCTGAACACGGTTTTGCAGCAGAGGCTGCTAAATAACTTAACAAAAAAATGGTCATTTGAATCAATTTTCTTGACAAATGAGTTAGTGTTCAAGAGAAAACTGAAGTAGTATGAATAAATAGCTTCTTCTTTCTGATAGCTTTTTTTAAACAATTATCACTGTGTATATTGAAGCACAATTCCAGAAAATGTCATCACAATAGACGGTATCATCATATATTCAACTAATCTAAAGAGTTCTGTCACTCACAATTTTTCTGCAAACATTCTATAACATACAACTGTCTAGAGCGATGTGATGTATAAATGACAAAGTTGAGAGTCAAATAACATTGATAGACATTAATATTGAATAAATATCTAATTTATATACCCTTATATACGGGGGTGTGTGTGTGTGTGTGTGTGTGTGTGTGTGTGTGTGTGTGTGTGTGTGTATATATATATATATATATGTTGACACCCACAAACCATCAAAGTCTGTATTTCCTCTTTTTGCATTTCTGTCTCACTTGTGAACATACAACATTTTTATTTTTCCTGAAGCAATGAAGTTTAATAAAGGCTTGACAATAACTATTTTTCACCAAAGCACAAATCAAAAATCAGAAAGACACTGATCTGTGAAAGTTGCTTTCCTTAATAGTATTTAGAGTTCAATCAAATCTGACATCTACCTAATGTGTTGATCTTAATGTGATCTTAATGTGAGTGTACATGTATGGCATATATGGCTTCAAGACAAAGTTTAACTGCTCACTTGAGGAACTCTTCTCTAGTCTCCACCCATCTAACATATACACACTCTCACACACACACTACTGCCATATTCATGCAAAGTAACAGACCCACTCTCCCACAAATCCTTCCTCTACAAAGCAGGAGGGGAAGTGAGACCGGGGCTGAGTCACAAAAGTGGGGTGAGGATGAGGGTGGGACTCTGTACGACTGTAAGTCCAGGGACAATGAACTTGGATCTTCCAAGCTGAAGGTCTCAGCCTTGACTAGTGAGCAAACCCCGAGCTCTGCCAAGATCAACTAGGAGGAAGGATTGGTTCACTAATAATTATTATTAGTGAACCAATCGCTCCACCTAGTGCTGTTATACGTAGTACCAATATATTAATGTATAATACGAGTTTGCTTGATTGGTTTAAAACTTAAGTTTAGATAAGTTGAAAAAGAGATGAGATGAAAAATAGAAATGTTCTGGGATTTAAAAACCTCCAGAAACTGTAACTTGGAAAGTCATACATGAGACAAAAGAGCTTAAATACAATATGTTGAAGTTTTCATATTAACCATGTCACATTATGGATGGCAAACTACAACAGAGTATAAATGTTAAAATGTTTTTATGATTTTGGGGAAATTGATGTGACAAAAGGTCATTCAAATCTATTCATCAAAAAAGCTCATTGAGTAAATAAACTAGGTCCAAGTAAAAAAAAAAACAGCTGATTGTCTGTTGTGTCTACTTCCTTTTTCTAGATTATGAGCAGGGAACTTCAGTGTACTCGATGCGTTTCTTCATGTTCCCCTGAAAAAGCACCTGCATATTTCATCAAAGTGTAAGCCAGGTGCACACTGTCTATATTAGTCCTAATTAAAGGCACTCTGCCAGGGGATATACTGAGGATATAAAGGGAATGGACTGGGATTACACTGGGGAAAGGCCAGGGACAAACCTGCAACTTTCCTCTTACAGGATGGCCGCTGTAGCTGCCAGTTGACACAGGAGAACAAATGAACAATTAAGCAATGTTTTTCATGGGTGGTACTCACTTTGTCGAGCTTAGATTCCAACTCACACACATCCCCCTCCACTTCCTCTATGGTGGCTCTGTGGAGAGAGGAAAAAAAAGGATTTGACATGAAGTGTAAACAATACCTAATACTATCAACTCACAGACATTGAAAAGAAGACTGCAGTCCTCAAGAAACAACGTAACTCCCTCTGTTTCTACAAGTTCTGCCATCTCTATACATTAATGTTATTTTTTCACCAACTACCTGCCGTGTGCTCACTCTATATAGACAGATAAAGAAAGAGTATTCAAAGATTAAACAAAAGTTGTCAGCTTAGTGGTAAGTTAGTGCCCCATGTACAGGGACTATAGTCCTTGAAGGGGGAAGTCTAAGTTAGACTAAGTTGACCAGCGGCTCCTTTCCTGAATATAAAAAGGCATAAAAGCCCCAAAATAAAATCATCAAAAGAAAGTTGTCAGCCAACTCTAGATAATGCTTTCTTCAAGCATGTTAACCTCATAAATATAGAATGCATCAAACAGAGCACATATTTAACACATGGAAAAGCAGAACCATTACTACTGACACACCATTAGGGACAGCAAAACTGAGAGCTGCCATTTTGGGTAATGTCAGGGCTGGAGTCAAGGCTGGCTTTCTGCCCTTCAAAAAATGACAGAGCACAGCCTGGTTCTCCACAGGATCAACAGCACACAAGCTTTCTGGTGCCACCAGAGAAGGAGAAGAAACGCAAACATCTCTTTCAACCACAAGCTTGGGGACTTCACCTCCAATCATTTTGATCATTATATATTAAGAGCAACAGAGCAGTTTACAGGTAAGAGAAAAGGAGAGTGGGAGAAGCAACTGTGTAGCTGTTTTCACATAAGCACGCCTGAAAATGTCTGGAGAATTACAGAGGACTGCCCCTGAAATCCTCTGATCTGGTTGTTCACATATGCACATCACAACAGGAGACTATCCCGGTAAAAAGAACGACGAAGCAATAGAGTCCGGTACACAATGCTTAAATGAGAATATCAGCCTTTATATCAATGCTATGTAGTTAGATAGAATCAAAGTTTTACCAAAAGAGCGGAGAAGAACAAACCAGCATAAAGAAAAATAAAGCAGCAGTTTAATAACATACACAGAGATAAGTAGGTTAAGGTAGTTTGTGACACACTTAAATAAGTTAGAGAATGACTCACAATTCATACAACAAACCTAATATTTTAGCATTTTATTTGTCTGACATCATATAATAACGTTTACTAAGTAGAAGGGGTTAAGAGACCCTGCACACTAATGATATTTCTTTGACCACTAAGAAGCTCAACTGTTTTCAGAACTGATGACCAGCTGTTAAACCTGAGCTAAAACAGCTGACTAGTTATTTCCTGCCATGGTTTAAATTACTATGATGTCAAGTCGTTGGTTATGCTGCCATGCTAAGAAAATTATCTGGTGTACGCAGACAGGCAGAAACTCCATCACTCAGCAAGTTGAATTGTGAGAATGCCAAAATTAAACTGTTCAGCAGCAGAAACTCAAACGCAAAATATGTTTAGTGGAGGTACCTCAAGTTCAAATCTACAAGACATTTTACTCATTTTATGGATTTTTAATTAATATTAAACCAAAAAATTCCTCATGAGCATACATTCATTTTTATAAATGTGTATTGTATTCTGTGTTCAGCAAAGACGTCCTGAAACGTGGGAACAGTGTGACAGAGTTGCCTCATTGCAGTTTTTATGAGATTTTGTTCACAAACCAAACACAGTGGAATGAACTAAAGTCTTAGTAGACAAAGAGGGCAATTCAGGGTCAAAAGCAATATAGAGCCTGCCTTTCTCCCTATTACATTAATCCTGGTCAAAATCTAAAGAGCCTGTTACGAGCACCGTTTGCAGAAATACAGGAAAGGGGCTCTAATGTCAGATTTTTAAGCCGATTTGGCCAATTCTTATAATTCTCTATAATAAGACTCTGGGCTTTGAGCTGGTGTAAATACGTGAGTAAAGCAGGAGTTGAGGAGTAAACACTACAATGCACAGATTGCCAACATTACCAGTAACCAGAAGGACAGCAAAAGCATTTACAGAGCATGTTCCAGATTAGTCCTCCCTCAAAGATTTGGCAGCGAGGTCAAGAAAAAGCCATGAGGGGATGTGGTACTTAAACTGATATAATCTCCTTACAAAAGCCACCAATCAAAACCTTCATTAATCAAATAAAAGCTTCCTGATTAAGAATTGAAGCATTGGCCAGCCAATTCTTCCGTAATCAACAATGAAAATGTCTTGATACATGTAAGCAGAAAAGTAAGACTATAAGCACTTGACCTTTTATGTTCAGGTGTAGTTGTAAATGTGTTTAACTGAGTGGAACAAAGGTAGGATGGCCTGCATAAGACCAGGCCATCCGAAAAAAAATTAAATTTAGAAAAAAATACCCTTGATCATCTAAATCAATCCTTTTTTAGTCGTTCATTCACTGGATTTAACCATGAGAAATCAACGAGTTCCCTACAATCTTGTAACTTGAGCCTGCAGGGTGATCTTGTGGAAGTGCTGACAAGGGATAAGAAAAGGAGGGGCCCTGGCAAAATGAAAATCTGGGCCATTGCCTCACAGCTCTGACCTTGGAGCAGGTCGATGAGTCTGGATAATGAGAAGAAAAAGAAAGCACGAGAGAACAAGACACACGTACACACTCGAAAATGTGGTGATAGAAAGCTGTTTCCACATATGCACTCCTGAAGATATCTAGATAATTTCAGGAGAACTGATCCTGAGCAGTATTAGATCATTTCAGGAGAACTGATCCTGAGCAGTATTAGATCATTTCAGGAGGATTTAGTACTGCTCCTTAAGGGGAAAAAACAACCAGGAAGTGGCGGACGAAGCAACAGAGTACCCTACAGACCCTTTTAGTGTTAATAAACAGTGTGACGTTTTCTGGTGTGCAGGTCTTTGCTGGAGGCAAAACATTCCTCCGTACACATTGCTAGATAGCAGGTTGTTTTGGCTTGTTTTTAGCATGGAGGATGCTAGGCTAACAACAAAGACTAAGCAGTTTGGAGGTATTTCATGCTTGTTTTGCCAACAACTTATACAACTACTTTCACTTTCTGCAAAGGTAATGTTTCAAGTGGAGTTAGAACGACGAGTTTAAACGAGGCAGACAAAATGCAACAAAGCAGTTCACTTTGTCGGCTGCATTGCAAAGATACGAGAAACTTTGCAGGAATGGATTTAAAGCGACAAAACACTCTAAGATCGCTCTGCCTGGCCTCTGCAAGATAGTTTTAGAACACTTATCAGCAAAGTTAATGGATGTAAAGGCGATGAGGCTGAGCTATGATGTTACTACACAGTCCAGCCACTCAATTTTCCCCCGACATCAAGGAAATGCTTCACCAGTTTACTAACCTGCAAGACATATCGAGAGACAATGCTAGCAACATGAAAAAGCCCTGGACAACAAAGGAGTGCACAGCTTTGGTACTTTGCACATACAATGAAGCTTGTAGTGAACAAGGTTTCACTGTGACAGCAGAGGGCGAGTGATGGGGGTCTGATTGTGATAAAAACATTTCGCCAGCTCATATGTATTTAGTTCATTTTGTTTTACAAAGTTTGGAAATCCTAATGCTGCCTAACACATAAATGATTCCCAGTCCCAATCTCAGAGTTATTAATTTAACACTGGTATTGGATCTGTACTCAGTATCTGCAGATCCCAAAGCCAAGGTATGGAATCGGTATCAGAACTCACAAAGTTGGATCAGTGCATATTCAATGTTATGTTTCTAAAGTTCAAGTAAGGCGATCTTGCCTCAGCATTTACTCTACAATGTTCGCAGTCATTAAACATAAAACAAAATGACAACGTTTACACAAACATGTTCATAATCAACCTTTAGATATCCTAATCCCATGAAAAAAATGGAGGGGGGGGGGGTTGCTTTAGTTGTCTTTACATTCAAACAGTTCTTCACTTTAATGATATGATCATGTTGTCATCAATAAGCTTGTATCTCTCAACAGTTTACAGAGTGATAAAACAGTCTGGGTGATAAAACAGTTTGATGCAGGTATTCTGCTCTCAGTGTAAAACATCTGATTTCTGGCATTTGCAAACCAAAAACAGCCAGCATCTGCCACCAAAGCAGAAGAAAAAAGAGGAATTGATGTGGTGAATATTTAATCTCATTGAAGCGCAATAGACCAGACCAGACATCAGACATAAAATGCTATTTGGAGCGACCTTTTGCAGTGTATTTGTAGCAGCAGTGGTATTAAGCAGTTAATACGTTTCATAAACTTTATTCTACGTATTTGTGTTTCACCTATTTTAGTGGCTAAAAACAAGTTATGTTGTATTGACTTTCTCTGATGTTCATTCATTTGATACAGTGAATAATCTATTTAACCATTACATGTTCCATTTACTTACAGCTTTTTCTTTAAATTAGTGGTTTTTGTCCAGTTAACTGTATGAAATATGCATTTCAATTGTCTTTGTACATGTTTCAGTTGCCCAAATAAATGAAAGTGATTTCTGTCACAACACATAAGACATAGCCAGTAGATAGTTCATATTTGAGAAAATTGATCAACTATATTATAATACTTTTGCCTAAAATGGACCTTAAAATCATAAGAACAGTTGCAAACAAATTTTCCGTCACCTAAGTGGGCTCCTTGTTTTTGCTCTCCTTTCAGTGTTAAACTTGCATTCAGGTGTTGATTCTGTTTCCCAAGCAATTTAAAGGAACTTAGGAACTCCTATCCACCATCTTTATGGAAATGATATCACTAGCTTTTATTTTAATGGAACAATATGAGTAAGAAACAGAGACATCCAGGGTAAAGTGCTGTTTGGGTGTAATGGTGAAGCGCAGGCTAAATCAAGACAGACGAGTGGTATGAAGGAGACCAAAGTCCAGACCAAAGAGAGAAAGAAAAAGCACCAGCCTTATAAACCACATCAGTGAGAAAGAGGCCAGTTCAGCATTACTGAGGGAGAGATTGAGTCCTGTTTGACTTTAAGTTGCCCCAGGATCACAGAAAGGGGTCACTGATG